ACAAATCTCACTCTGAATGCTTCTGTCAACACAGAAATGACATGTTAGATTACTGCTGCTTTCAGAGTAAAGACAAAAACAGCTCATGCAAAGCTGACATGGTTTAAAAGGATCCTTTGAAAATTCTAAGATTACAAAGCACGGCATCGCTGTGAGATAGCATGATAAATGTACAACCCATGGATTCAAGTTCAACAAAGACAAACAAGGGCAAGATAAAGTCACATACATATTAAAGTCCTTTTTCTCCATCGACTACGATAAAAACAGTAACTGATTTGCAACTGAGTATTGGCTTTCAGTGCACAACACATCCATCAGAGCTGTGATAAAAGAAACCAACAGGATGATATTTGGCTGATAAATGTATGTCAGACTTCATACGTCTATCAAAGGAAAAAGCAATTAAATGCATTAATTTCTTTTGCAAAAGGATACAAGAACAAACTCTCAAATAACTTCAAAATGTTTAAATGGATATAACTAACCACTTACACGTATACAAAAATGACTTGATCTAAAATAACTTAACTAAATATTAATTCTAAAAATGTTTAAAACTGCAATAAATCTTATGACTGAATGCTGTAGGTATTTGGTGTAGTATAAGATGGGTGTAGATGCATATCAGATTGGATTTTTAAGGTGAGAAACACACACATCACAATGACAACACCAGTGCCTGGATGTGTTTGCTCTCATGACGTTAGCAGAGCACAAGTGTAGCTGAGGCTGGGGGAAAGGCAGTCAGCTGTTAAGAAAGGCTTCATTGTCAGCAGAACACGTCCTTGCAATGCAGTGTTTCAGTTTGGTTCGCTAAAAAAAAAAAAAACAACCTCTGCATGCCTATTTAATTCATCTGATTATTTCTTTGTCGATTTTCTAACACGTTTACCTCAAACTTCACTGAAGCTGCAGGCCTCGGCCGGGAAGGTTTTGAATGAAGGGTTGTGTTATATGTTTGGATAGACAACCCTCACCAGACTGAAGGGGGAAATGGGCGGAGGTTTCGGCACAATCTGTTCACCACCTGCTCGGTGGAGTACGAGGGAGGAGGGTTTTTTCACAATTAGGAGCTCGCACTATATCATAGCACTCAGAAACACAGATCACTGAGGTGTGTCTGTTTGTTCAGAGCTCACTGCAGCATGCTAGCCAGCACCTTCCTGCAGGCTGAGTGAGCCCTATCATAGCTGAAGTGATGGATGAACACGCAGACCATGCTCAACTAGCCTAACACCTGCTTCCTGTCTGGCCGCACATGCTCAGTAGCTCCTTTGGGGAGTGCTGACGGTGTGCCCTGCTGCTGATGTGTGGGCCAGACCATTTCTCATCAGGACCCATCTGGCATCAGTGATGCTTGAGCATAGCATGCACGCTACATCACACACAACCTGATCAGTTTGTAACAACAAGACCAGCCAAATCTCCCCTTTCTCTTTTTTATGCCTCTGAGATTCTTGAAGGTTCTATGAGGAAAAACTAGTTGCATAACCTTCTCTTTCGGCTCTTTCCCATGTAATAAAACTATTTGTGAAAGAGGGACAGATATTAAAGAACATGATAAAGAGCAATTATGGCACATTCTGTACGTTTTTGGCCCAGAATTGAGTGTTTATACATTAATAAACATATTCAGGTCAATTTAATGAACAAATCTGTGGTTTAGAATTCATTTATAGGTGAGATTACTTTTACTCTATGTATATATATATATGTATATATATATATATAGACACAACTGTTTGTTAAAGACCCTTAAGTGCATGACAAAATCAGTGATAATGATGTCAAGACTGACTGATATTTTAAGCTGTAACTAAACTGCTACAAGCTTGTTCAGATTAAAACATCTAATGTACAGAGAGAGAAGCCAAATTCATGATGACACATTGTAGACACAAAGTAGCGTCAGTTTATTCTGAGGATGTAAGATCTTATCTGCTCATGACTGTGACTATCTGATAACATTTCCCTGCCGTATAGTAGACTCATTGCAGGGTGCTCTTTGCCAGTCTGTGTGCATCACAGACAGTGCTTCATTTGCCGGCATCGCTGGGATGGACCCCTGTGGAACGGTAAGAAAACTCACAGCTTGAATCTCAAAAAGCAGAGTGCCTACTTTCCACTAAAAGACAGACGAGAACAAAGCCGAGTCAAAAGTACAGAACTGCTGCGGTAAAACGACAGTCGGAATACAAATGGAGGCTCCCCAGCTAACTGTTGTACCGTCAGCCTTTGTTTGTGTTCGACTATCTGTCCGGAGGGTTTCACCCAAAGTGTTTTCTGACAATTTCAATTTATACCCAGCAGCCCGAGGCTTGCGGCTGGGGAGATGAGTCACAGAGATGCATAACAAACAAGGGCCAATGACTGGGATCATGACTCGCACAAAGTCATATCCTAGCAGCCAATTATCGCTCGTTTGTAGGCAGGAAATGAATATATACCTTTAGTACACATCTCATAGCCAGCGACATCCTCATCACTACTGGAGGGGACATGTGGGAAAACTCCTGAGGACCCACTTTGTGGGGTTTGAGTGGGAAGGTAATCTTCCACCTGAGTTTTGAGTTATGTTAAGCGAGCATTCATTCTGTGGTAGACACTTATCCAGAAGTTGACCAAGCGTCATTAATAATGGATGTAAGTACGGCAAAGCCATAGAAGTGGCTGGATTGATGTGTCTGTAGTACATGCATGTGAAAAAAATATTTAAAGTCTGTGTTTTTAGCCAAATCTTTGGCACATCTAAGATTATCAGACCATCCATCCATCCATTTTCTGAACCGCTTATTCCCTAATGGGGTCGCAGGGGAAACTGGAGCCTATCCAAGAAGTCAATAGGCGAGGTGAGGCGAGGGTACACTCTGGACGGTCTGCCGGTCCATCGCAGGGCCACACAGAGACACACAGGGACGAACAACCATGCACACTCACTCTCACTCCTAAGGGCAATTTAGAATGTCCAATCAACTTAACATGCAGGTTTTTGGATGGTGGGAGGAAGCCGGAGAACCCCCGCAGGCTGTGAGGCGATGGTGCTAACCACCACTCCACCGTGCCGCCCAAGAATATCAGACCATTTGTTGCAATGCTCATCAAAAGTGTGGATTTTTTGGGCATATATATTCCACTAACAGTGAGTGACCTCACTGAGCCTCACCCTAACCAAGTTAAGTGGAACACATTATGCAGAACATGCAGTGCTCTCTCATCTAAAGTGATAACTTGTAAAACTACAAAGGATCCAAAGGCATCAGCCTCTCTGCTTTTACCGTTTGATCGTTCTGCTCTGATGGAGCTGTCCTCTCGCTGGAGGTGCTGAAAAGCTAACCAAAGAAACAAGCAAAAACATAAAGTAGATGCGTGATTTAGACAGAGGCTTAAGACGACTTAATACTTTCTCTGATATCCTTCTCAACACTGCCATCAAACAAACACACACCCTTCCAGCTCAATGGTGCCACCCAGTTCTAAACCGACATCGGACCTGGAACCTCCTCGCTCAGAGGCGGTGGTACAAGCTGCCTAACACAAACTGACAGCACAGCTAAAGTCTTTAGAGGAACCAATGCTGCCAGCAGATCCCTGGAAAAGCAACATTTCTATCATTGACCTTTTTCAGGCATCAAATCATGGCATATAGAGTTATGGTCAGGACAGGCTGACAGACTTAAAACGTTGATCAAATGGAGCTACAAACACATAAAATACAGATTTCTAACATTGTGCAAACACTTGCTATCCGCACATAAACAGGATGCATCATATAAACCGTATTTTCCTCTCAGATAGAGTACCTGCAGTGATAATGGATTATAAGGATGTTTGAGAAAAACAGGTAAAAACCTGCAATTTCAGCAAACTCCAGAGGATGATGGTGTTATTCTGCTCTGCATTCTGGCTGAAATGGAGTCTTTGAAAGCACACTGCATCTATTTATAGAAGAACAAACGGGAGCGTATGGAACCAGGATAGAACTCTTCTCCAATGAACAGCACTAATTGCCGTTGTCACTGACAGTTATTTGCTCTCGTTGGACGGTGTAGGCTAAATATCTCTTTTTACTACCAACAGTTAGGAACTGTCAACACGGAAACCCATTTTCCAAATCTCATTAGGGTCTTACTGACCCGTAAAATGTCAGCAGCTCAATGGAAGTCTGGCTGAAGCCTGCTCTCTCCGTCATGGTGAGATACTAATGGCAGCAGTGGTGAGCCGATTAATTCAGATTTTCCTTTAACTGCACGGTCTAAAAGAAAGACCACAAAGTGACAAACAAGAAATATTTGCTACATTGGTTCAATGTTATTTTATGAACTTCATGAATTTTGAATTTCTTATTATAAAGATGGATATAATTTAACGGAGTTAAAATGCAGAAGAATAATTCAACAGGTCAAACTCCTTGCAAGGTGGATCAGTAAAAAAAAAGAAAAGGCTTTGTGTCTGTGAATCCAACACAGTCCAGACTGAAACCCAGCAGGCTACAGCCGGGGGACTCTAGACTGGCCCATCGAGAGCCTGGATCTGTTCTTTTTTTTTCAAACGAGAGCCCCCAAATGACAGTTAACGCCTCTCAGGAGCGGTTTACCTCCCAGCTGACTCCACGAGGAACAATAGGTGTGAGAGTGGGGAGAAATGCTGCACCTGCTTTGGGTGTAGCAGTCTGACACATTGCCAGCAAACACGTTGCTCCTCAGCCGCCACAGCAACGCAAACCGAGCCAGCAACTTTTCAAACGCTCTCCACATTTCCACGTCGTGCCCTCCATTCGGGAGTAAAAAAAAAAAAAGAAGGGGCTTTGCTCCCAAATCAAACACATTTTCTGGCGACTCTACCTTCCCCCGCCTGCTGCAGCACATTCCAGCCTGCAACCGCCTCCCCGCAGCTCAAGGTACAAGTTGGGAAAGATGATTGCGCACAATCAGCGCAGAAAACCCCTCCAGCCCACCTTCTGATGGCTAAATTGATGGTTTAAAATTCACATCGCTCACCCAACAAGGCTTCCAGATCGCTGGCGTCTAGCGGCGAGGATGAGGATGCTGCTGAGTCTTTCTGCAACACCAAGAAACAAGAGAAACTCCCACCCAGTTAGGGACCGTCTGACAATTCACGCTGCTTTCAAGGCACCAAAGGGAGCGTCAACAAACACATGCTTTTTAATGTAAGTGCATAAACAAAACAAAATCTGTTCTCATATATGATCAATTTAGATGGTACGTTTGAAAATAACCGATAGTTGACGCTGGGTCACAAACAAAATGAGAGGTTGGATGTACACATTTACAAGAAAATACTACACTGTATCATGGCTACTATGATACATAGTATTCCAACCTAAACACCATGAATACAGGCCTAATGGTATTCTCCATATCTATAATCCTCCAAATTTAATAGGGCTAATAGCCTGATATTTCAATATAATTATCTTACAGTTAGAGTGGAAAATACTTATAACTTAATGAGACATAATTAACTAAGTTTTTGAAAAGATGCCATTGGAACCTAAATTAGTTTAAGATAAAACTCACAGGAATATATGACTATAATGTAATATTCGAGCCCCCTATTATCCTCCACTCAGGGGAAAAAGCTAAAGTGAAAATCAAATATGATTTGCAGGGAATAATTCACCATGGACACTGGGGCCTCACACTGACAAATCAGACTCAAACAGGGTCTCAGCTCTAAAGAGGAAAAAAGAAAACACACCTCTGGTTACATTTTTTGTCCCTGCTAATGCTGCATGCAGTGCTATTTGTCATTCAGACTGGTAACTAATTACACTATGTAGCCCTAACCTTGACCTTTACAAAAGAAAAGACAAAGTATAAAAATAGGGGATGCGGAATATCTGCAAGCTGCAGTCTTCTACCAGGGATTTATCTAAAAAGATGTCTATCTAACAATAACACTGTGAATTTATGTCATATCATTTGTTCTGTTGCAATCAGATATCCAAAATATTTTCATAAGACACAATTGAAGGCCCTTTTAAGTCTTTTATAAGTAGTTACTCCAGTTATGTACCTTTTGTGTTACTTTCAGATCTGGGAAAAGAAAGAGTCTGCAAATGAGATGAATTTTTGGAGTCTAGGTTTCAGCTTCTGTCATTTGTGAAGACAGAGACCAGTGTGAGCTGTTCGGTTGCTCTGCAGACATGCAGGCAGCTGAAGTCTGAGCAGGAATGAAGCTGAAGTGCTGTTCATTCAAATGCTTAATCCTTCCTTTTGATTTTTATTGTGACAAAATGTTTTTAAAAAAAAGGTTTGTATCCAGGGTGGGTTTCTTTTATTTCCTTGTTGGCATTATTTCCTTGTTGTCACCTGTTATTCCATGAAACTGGTGGTGGTCTTTAAGTGGGGATTTATAGCTGAGAATAGATTGCCACCTGCTGGAATGTTTTTTTTTTCCCTGCTGCATTAACTTTTGAAAACAAGGACTGAACAGATACTAAGCATTAAGTCCCTAAAGATGATACGTAGGCAGTTTTGTGTTAAACTGTACAAGTTTCCACCACATTCCTCATCCACTGAAAAAAGAAATTAATCAAACAAATTGAATTTAATTAAGACTTATGATTTGCTCAGGTTGTTCTGATTAAGACATGTACCACCATGAGTTCTCAAAATAACATGCAGTGCAATAGAGGGAACCTCTATCTTCATGTGGAAATCTGGAACTCCAACACCAAAAATAATAGCTGTTGGTCATTGAACGGTCACTGAATGGTCATTGTGTTAAATAATAAGATCGTTTTGTGAAAGATCGATTGTGCTGAGGACTCAATCTTTTCAGGTTTAACCGAAGCGAATACATAAACAATATTATGTTTATAAACGGGAAAAATGCATGTTCAACTGAAGAACATGGCGCATCCGCACCGGCAGGGGGCGGTAGAGGGGCGCGCGGACACCCCAGTGATGGAAAATCGTCAATGTGACTTGAAGACACCTTGTTGTGCGCGTTTGAAAGCGGCTGCCTGACTGAGCCTGAGACTCCGCCGGGCTGAGGGGACCCAGACATCCGCAGGTAGGAGATGGAGGCTGCTGCATCACCAGCACCCATGATGAGGATTTCTCACAAAACACAGAGGATGAAATAGCGGAAATAAACGCGAGAACTGCCCTGAAGAAGCGCGTGCATCGGCCCTTAGAATAAGACAATGTCTGCTAGTTTATTGTTGAAAAGGGGGAAGGGGGGGGGGGTGATAATGCAGGTTTAAAGTTTTATTCTGTGGGAGCACCTCCATTGTTTTTGTTCTCTAGTGTCCCGTGAATCGCTCGTTTGGATTTTAAGGAGATCACTGACAAGATATTCTTGGTATCCTCAGTGGTCCCCGAGAGTCCCCAGACCCTAATTTGCTCAGAAATGAGTTCTTCTCATCAGCACGCTTATATTCTCTTTTATGAAAATGCTGTCAGATACTCTGTGTTGGTTTCCACTTAGGCTTTTTGTTCTTTCCTCTGTCAAATATTCAATCACAAATAAAAGTCCTCAATTCACTGTCAATAAAAGAAAAGAGAGAGAGAGAAGGTGCATATTATAAATAATATCATAAAGATGATTTTTCTCACAATTTAAGGCTTAAATGGAATCTGGAACAGAGTCATTCACGCTGTGACTTGGAAACTAACTGCCTGTTCTTCCCTTTTTCACAGATATGTTCACCAGAATGCTAAAGCTGAGGCTGCTCAACGTGGTCGCACCCGTGTACTTCTTCATGGCCACGGCGGTCACCTTCGTCTTGCACTTTTGCCTCTTCATCCCGACCATCTTCCCAAATCCGGACACATGGCCGAGGGGCTCTACTGCTCTTCACACGGTTGTGTTCCTCTTCCTGATGTTCAACGCCTTGGGGAATTACATAATGACTATCAGATACACGGCGGCCAGCCCCAGTGAGACTGTGGTTCCCGTGTGTTCGCCGCACTGCTCGGACAAAGTGGACGCCCACTACCTCCTGAACGGCCGTCACTTCTGCAAACTGTGCAGGAAAGTGATCCTGAAGAGGGACCACCACTGCTTTTTCACCGGGAACTGCATCGGCAACAAGAACATGCGCTACTTCATCATGTTCTGCATCTACACCTCGTGCATCTGTCTGTACTCTCTGGTTCTGGGCGTGGCCTTCCTGACGGTGGAGTACTCCATCTCCTTCGAGAACCCGCTGACGTTCCTGACCCTGCTCCCTCTCTCCACCGGCTACTTCTTCACGGGTGAGTTGTCCACCGATGTGGCTCCTCGCTTGCTGCGTTCTTCTGGCGTTGATGTGGTCTTTCTCTTTCTCCTCACAGGAACGGTCTCCGGCCTGCAGCTGTTCCTGGTCCTGATGCTCTACGTGTGGCTGGGCATCGGCCTGGTGTGCGCCGGTTTCTGTTGCCAGCAGGTGCTGCTGGTGGCCCGGGGACAGACCTGGTGTCAGATGCAGAGAGGGGAGCTGGTGGAGAACCGCAGCCCCTGGAGAGCCAACTTGAAGGATGTTTTCGGCACCCGCTGGATCCTCGGCCTCATCCTGCCTCTGCAGACTGCCGAGACATGCTCTGAGGACACAGACGGACACAAACAGGACTAAGCCGCAGCCGGTGGTAGCAAGAGCAGAAACAAAACGGCACATGTAGACTCGTATGTATAAAATATGGGGGCTTTGACGATTAAGGTTATCCATAACTTAGCTAGCTCATGGCAAACATTCCAATAAAGACAGGACACACAGACAGTGCAGAGCACATGCCTAGTGCACGCATCTGTGTCCTTTAAGCCGCTTTCTATTAGGCAATATTAAGGCGAATAGGATTTACTCATGTAGCCTTCATTTTTCCTCCAAAGCAACTTACAATCGAGGAGCAATGTGCGGACGGGTTGGAGATCCGGCTGCTTTAGGTCCATTTTTAGACGCTTGCACAGTGATGTAATGTTTGGCTCTGTTGCCTCCAGAGCTTTGTAATGTATCACAGCCTGTAGCACAACTCCGAGACCGTCCATCCAAGTGCAGGGCTCTTCCACGAGTCCTTATCGGATGCTAGGTGGTCAGATGAGGAAAATACAACATAAACTGCCAGGTTAGAGGTTAGAGGCGTTTGTTATTTCATGTTGAGCCAGTTGATGTTTTCTAGTTAAACTTGTGTGTCTCTGATGGTTCACTTCTTAGTGCCAATGGCTCAGCAGGGGGGGTAGAAAAATTATCCAGGGTATTATTCACGATGTGCCATAAGGTCATGTTTAACGTGCTTATAGATGACCGCAAAGATGAGGTATTATCCACTCAGCAAATAACAGTAAGTGATACAGCTGCTGACGTTTGGGACACAATGTCAAAAATGTTTGAAATATACTTTTGGAACACAATAAAAGAACCTAAATCAGACAAAACGTTTGCTTTTCATCTTTAATAATGACACCTTCTCAGCTGGAGAAGTGACAGAAGAATTGGTCTTCAACAATTGAATGAAATGACCTTTGATAAAAGCAAAATACAGAACGCACACTTTACAATAACACAAAAAAATATAGCTCTTAAATACACTTCTTTTTTCTTTTCCCCACTGAAAGATCCACACAGATTGAACTATTCCTCACTTCCCACAGACTAATGATTAAAACAAACTGCGCCAGTAGTGCTGTTGATAGAATAAATAAAAGCACAAGTTTATCCAGACTCAACAATTCAAACTTTTAAGTCAAATCTCAACAGAACCACTTATCTGTTTTGCTATTTCAAAAAGGAATACATCAAATCTTTGGAAACCTCTAAATACATTCAGACTTCTTCCATGTGACACAAGGAAACAGAAATACAAGCTGATGAAGCATTATTATAAAGTAAAAACACAACACATACTTGAAAGGCACAGGCATCCAGATAAACATTTATATTCACATTATTTCATCAAGACACAATGCTCATTTTGTTAAGCAAGTAAGTAATCTTGTGACCAAAGTGCAATAATATGCCATGTGAAACTAGGCAATTAACTCTTATCTCTTGGTCTAATGTTACACAGTAATTATGAAGTTAAACTACAGTAAGAAAGAAGATGGCAGCAACTGAACCAAGGCCAGACAATCATATGGCTACAGCACCTCACTTGCTACATTTCTATGCACACAGTTCCAACAAGCTTTAAAAAAAAAAAAAAAGATAAAAATTGCTGCTTTAGGTTTGATTCTACCGGCGCACACCTGCCAAACTAAGCCTCTCGTTTGGATTACTGACATCACAGTAGGGTTGTCACGATACTAAAATTTTCAACTCGATACCGATACTCAGGAAAATACTCGATACTCGATACCATTTTCGATACCACAAGGATTAAAAAAAGACCCCAAAATTGAACTGAATTTTGACAGGTTAGTGTCTTTCATTTCAAACTGACATGTTACTAATGTTATCGTGACTGGTGGCCTGCATTAATAACCCTAACCCTAACCCAAGCTCTCCAGCCTTCATAATTGTGAGAAATAAATATTTTTTGGTTAAACTTGTTTGGACTTATTGTACAAACCTATCTAATATACACAATTTAACATAATAATATGTATAGAGTTTAATTAAGTGTTTGAAAGATTAATTTCACAATTTTTAAATGAATCTCTATATTGCCATGAAGCAATTAGGATTTTCTTGCCTGGAATCTTCCTTTTGTTAATGTAACTATAATGGCCGACTTCAATGTGGGCGGAGTCGGACATTTACTTGATTAATGGTGGCACGTTATTATTAGCCATTAGCCGAAGCTAGCAGTTCAAGGCTAACAACTTGTTAATGACCATAAACAACGTAAAAAAATACATAAATAAATCAGAGAAAAAGGGCAACGGCAGGTCAGTGTCGCGGGCGGGCGCGCGCGCGTGCTCGCGCGGTGGTATCGATACTTTTGAAAATGAGTATCGTATCCGGATACAACATTTTAGTATCGATACTTTTTTGAGTATCGATACTTTTGACAACCCTACATCACAGTCTCTTACAATCTAACATATAAATGATGCTGCCATTAAATAAGAAAACAAATATCCCATGTCCAGAAAAACAAAGTCATGGAATCGTTTGCAAATCATTAAAACCTGTATTTAATTCCAACCAGGACAAAGAAATGTCATAAACGTGGAAGGTTTTCTACTCCTCTCTTTCAGTGTGTGCTCAGTTTGAATTTGAAGGCAGCAGCATGTCTGAAAAACATAACAAAACAACAAGGATGGGACCAAAAAAAGTTTAAAAAAACAAACAGAAATATGAATACAAAGAACAAGTTACAGCCACAATACTGAGGCCATCGGGCACTTAAAGCAGAGCTGATTCGGAGGTGAAAGTGACAGAATCAGGGATCAAAGTTGATGGACGGCAAGTTGCTGCGTCTACAAAACGATAAATGGAATGCGTTTTTTTTTGTTTTTTTTAGCTTTTACACAGTTAGCCACTTTCACAGCACACGGCGTCACGGGCTGTAAGGCAACCCAGAGTCTGCAGCGAGAACACTTAGACCGGTCGTCCTGCAAAGCTGGGAATCGAACCGTCACCCCTCTGGTCGGCTGATTTTGGCCACAGCTGCAACTCAACCACTCCAAATAAAAAACACCTATTTATGAACCGGATTCAGAAAGTCTGATGCCTTCTCTGGGCCCAGACTCACTTGGCAGACGGAGCTTGTGGAAAACATTCCTGTGGTCTGACTATAAATCTACTTGAAATTCCTTTTTTTTTGTTGCTTTTTTAAATAATGGAGAAAAGAGCAAAGCACTTTTTGATCTGTCTGTTATCAGCTGACAGTTCAAAAAGCAGCATGTGCGATTGTCTGGGAGCGCATACGTGCACAGGATTACACAGTCTTACACAGACATGATGCAACACAGCAGTAAACTTAACTCTGTAACAACTTTTCTGAAGCTTCGGCTGACTAAAAAATCTTAAAGAAAAAAAAAAAGAAAAAAAAACCCCCCAAACCCTAGATTTTTCTGGTTTCAGTGTTTGATATTTTGGCAGTTTTTTTTTAAAGTTTGCACAGTGTCCAGACCACGCCAGCCTCCTGTTTACTGTCCACTTCCTGGTCACACTGGCTCTCAGTACCTAAGAAGGCCTTTCACTTTAGCTTTATTGAGCTAAATGTTAAAAAAGACCAAATATATTGACCTGTTTTCTGAAGGTGCATGGTAGAGATGGGGATGGCGTTTGACATACAGAAGCCGTAGCCCTATCGCAAGTTAAACTTGCTAATTTGCAACAGCAGAGGCAAAAAAATAAATTATAGGCAAGGGCTGCAAATACAAGCATGCTTCCAAACTCCCATGTCCTGACACTGGCTGTGTTTCATCTTCATGTCGAACCGGCAGCTTGGTGTTTCAGGCTTCCCGACCTTTGGGTATAGAACAATTCACACCCTTGTACCTGGGTGAAAGTGCAGATCTGTTCTAGCGTACGGATTTGCTGTGTGCCCTTTCCCAAGCATTCAACATTCAGTAGCGCATCCTGGTTGACTCTCCTGTAACCACACGGAAAGATGCCGGTTGTGTACACCTGCATGTTACGCTTGGACAGTCTGAGCCTTGGCCGCCCAGTGGTCCTTATCCGTGTCCTGCAGGGAGAGGTGGAGCTTTGTCCAGAGCTGTGGGTCCCCGCTGCTCACGGCCTCCAGCAGCAGCGCCGTTTGCTCCTGGAGCTGGTGCAGCTGGCCCTGGGTGCGCTTGTTCTCCTTGATCAGCTGCTTGGTGCGCATCGTTATGCCCAGCAAGCCAGACTTGTTGAGGATGTTGTAGGTATTGCTGAAGCGCTTCAGTTTGTTACTGTGCATGGAGATGGCGTCCTCGGTCTTGTCGGAGGGCATGATGTCGTCCGTCAGGATACTGAACTCATCTGAGTATACGGACAGAGAGCTGGGTCCTGCTGGTGGGGTGGGACTCCTGCCGGGGGACTCTTGCTGCTTTTGACTCTCGGCTGCTTGTGTTGGGTCGGTTGCTGCTTCAAAGCCGGACAGGGCTCGGGCTGGCGACTGCAGCGCTGGCGGCGGGCCGGGGGAGCTGTAGGGCCTGTGGCCGTGGTGGTGTCTCCTCTGTCGCTGGTCGTATCCGGCCCTCACCCTGTGGGAGCCCCCCCTCTTGGTGGGCGGATCGGCGGGGTGCGGGGCGATTCTGGGATATGACTTGAGGATAGGCATGTAGCTTTTGGACTGTCGCACATTTTCAGAGCCGGTCTTCGGAGAGCTGTTCCTGCCATTTGATACCATGGGTTGAAGAAGAACCACCTGCGACTGGGGCATCACTTCCAGAGGAGAAGAAAAGCTCCACTGTTTATCTGCGGGAGCTATCGGGGATGGCTAGAGGAAAAAAGGAGATATTTGATATCAAGCTATGAAGTTATTTCATACACAAAAATAAAATAAAATAAACTGTCAAACTAGAATTCTCTCAGTTTTACTGAAGTTAGTAGCTGGGAATTGCCATAAAAGCCAAAGAATAATAGACTCCTCATTAGGGAAGAGGGGAATTAAGCCATCTGCAATACGAAGACAAACAGTCATAAACTGCTTTCTAATGTCCTTTCCTTTAGGACTCCAGCATAAGTTTCTGGGTTTCTAGATTAGCCAGTAGTTAAACTGTGGGTGTGCCAAACATCCTTAAAAATCATATGTAGCGGTAGGTTAAACATTCCAGTTCTGAAATAATTAGCGCTACACGGAGCTGCCCAAGCAGAACATTGCTGTGTCTTACCTGCTTCAAGACGAAGTTGTTCATGATGATCATAGGGGACATTCCAGGGTACGAGCCTCCCACTACAGCCACATGCTGACCGGTTTGCTCTTGGCCAACCGCTGACCCGTTCCGCCCTGCATCTTCTGAGTCAGTCACCTCCACCGCACTGAGGTACTCAGAGCTGGCGTCTGCAGATCAAAGGATAGGAAAATGGGTCTCGTCGTGTTTCAGAGGAAACAGATTTACCTTGCTGTTGTGCAAGAAGAAGTAGAACATGAGCAATATCAACACTGGAAAATGTTGATAGGCATCTCAAAAGCAAAGGGAGGGGACACCATCAGCTTAACAAGTAGGGCTACATCAAATCTAGGTCAGCCTCAAATGTATAAATAAAGGTCATCCCCAGAAGAGAATAGCCCACATAGAGAAAATGACCTAGATCTCCATATTTGATTGAGGATGAGTTTATTTGTGGTCAATCTCTGTCCATTTCAAGTAATGTAAAAGGTGATTATAAACTGTATATTTACATCAAGGTCAAGAATTCTGTCATACTGATATTATCACTATCAAATGATCATGCATAGTACAAGTGACCACATCCTATGCAAATATGACTTTATCTGAAGCGTATCAGTGCTCATCAGTGAGCAACACTAAAAACTCCAAAACCGATGGCACATTTTGAATTAACTGAGAGCAACGTTACTGGTCAGCTCATAGTGTTGAGATTTTAAAGAAACGTATAGCAGCTTGTTTTCAATTATCACAAAAACAGAATATTTCTCAGATTTCATGTTTCTATAGATCAGGAGTCAACCAGTAAGGACTTTTAAGGCAAATGTGACATCATAATAAAGGCCATTTTCTCAAAATGTTTTTACATTCAAAGGCACCATCAGCTCTTTGTTTCACTGTTGGGACGATACATGTTCGTTATTAATCTTAGGAAGTCCTGTTCTGAAGCACCTGTGGGGGTATTATTTGTGAGCTGATCACCTGTCTGTATATATCCGTTTCCATCGTCATGACATCTAATAGGGCAGTTACAGCAGGTGCGCTACAAAAACTCCTGACCCTGGTTGAGACATCTGTGCTATTATCATAACAAAATCGTGATTCTGTTCCTGTTAAAAAAAAAACTGTTGCAGCCTGCCACACTCAACCAAAATTAAAATCTAAAATGTTTTTAAATTTATGAATGCAGTGCCCCTAAAATTAAAGAAGAGACGAATCATCTGGTATATTATCAGTGCTCCGTTCAAAAGCTGTATCTTTGCATAGTGCCAATGATAACCTGCTGCTCGGCTGGAAAGGTGTCACAAGAGGTTAAAAAAATAAACTGGCTCAGGAACAACATATGCTCCCATCCAGGCATCTTTTTGCCATGCAAATTTCAGCTGGACAATTTTAGCAGAAATCATGAAAAACTAAATATCACCAAGGAGTTGAGAGGTGATACAGTCATTAGACCAGAGATTGCTAAGGTGTGTAGTCACTTCTGTTACATAATGTATTATGGACAAACACAAATAAAAAGGATCCATCGTTTTAAAGCATTATTTCCAAACCTGAGAAGCCTGAATCCCGCTCCAAGTCATGTTTGGATATCCCAAAGTGTGGCATCTTGGTGTGGCCTGCCGCCGTGCGTCCATCCAGTCGATTAAACCCGCTCATGTTGGAATCTTTTAAACAAATTCAATGAAAAATACAATCAAGCTGTTGGTCAGACTTCAGCTGGGGTACACAACGCAATTTCAGGGGTACCATAGCAAGACGTTATAAGTAGTGAGCATTTAATACCTAGCCTTCCTCTTTGGTGTCTTGATGACCTGCTGTTAACTGTGTTACTATTCAACCCGTGATTACATCAATTACCTTTAACTTGCGATGAACAATATCATTACCTTTAACTTGCGATGAACAATATCATTAGTCTCTTTTAGAGTTTTCAATAAAATACCCTATTGTAGATGAGGTCAAATACTCCCATCCTTAAAACTGTTTACCCTCATTCTGAATGTCCATCTTTAAATCTTGCAAGGACTAAACAGCATACCAAGAGCAAATTTTGTCCTGGTTCTGAAATCCATTGTAGTATAAAGGGTTTTATTTAGCTAAAATTACCTTGTGTATAATAAAATAGGACGATATTGTGTTCTGAAATGCCAGTGAACTGCTAAACACGACACCAATTAAACTGCATCGTTACTAAAGTTGTGTACATGTCTGTCATCACCTGATTGAGGCCTTGTCATCGACCCAGAATAAACGTGTTTACAGAGTACGTGCAGAACATGCATTGCACATTATTAAAAATGGAAACTAACTAAGAGCAAACATATATGAAGAGCAGTGAACGCAAGCTATCCAACAAACCATCAGTTTTACAGTTTACATGTATTTTTCACGCGCAGAACTATCCCTCGGTGTTTTTCTATTTGTTTTTACGACAGTTACATTTGACTTGATTAATCAACTAAACTGCTTCAGAGACAAAATGTCAAATTAAAGAACAGCTGGTGACTCATATTTGCTGTCTGTATTCACGACAGACGGTACTTTTCCGTGTTACTGTATGAACCTCATTAGCTGCTAACGCAGTTAGCTTAAAGATGCTAATAACAGCAGATTCCCACTAGCAGACAGACCTTTACGTTTAATCAAGTCACTATCTGGCAGACATGACTGATATTAAAACCCTTACCAATGTGTTGCAAACGTGAAAACTGTTATCCGATTACAGATGCATCCAAGCTGACTGTCGCCGTACCGTCTTACTCCACTTGACACTCGACAAGAGCAGCGAACGTTAACTAGGCTGCTTAACCCATGGGTAACAGCACGACTGTGACCAAAACACCCACTTCCGGGGTTTCAGGATAAGACGGGCGCTTCGACATAGCGAGAATTTCTAAACAAAGCATGGACTTTACAGTCTTAACCTTCAACAGAAATGTTTGAAAGTTTCGCTTGGTAGTTGTGTTTGAGGTGATTTAAAACCAGGAACATGGGTATGTAAGACATTACAGAGGGTTACAGAGGGCTCCTTTGTCCCGTAGCCAACGTGACAGCGCTTCCAGGTTACCAAGGAAACAGGTCCACCACTTGGTTTTATCCGCTCCGATCAGAAAGATGGAAGAAATCGAGCGCCTGCTTGTAAAAACCTGCACAGGCGTATGAGTAAGTTGTTATTCATGAACTTAGATGTCATATTTCTTAAGTTGAAAACTGTCACACTGTTTTGATATAACCGTCAATGTTACAGTAGGGAATGAATGTGAGGATGTTATGAAACCTAGCAAAGACTAAATGGATACATTTAAGAGTTAGAAATCTTTCTGTTACTTTTTCAATGACCCCCCTTAAGAACATGCATTGATATTTCACCACTTAAAAAACAATGCAGCAAAATTGTACTTGTTCACTCTCTGAACCTCCTTTAATACTTTTAGAGCAAACTAAAAATATTTGGTATATTTATAAACACTTGCAAAAATTCCAGATATTCTAAATTTTCAGCCTTTACAACGGGCAAAACTTATTTTCAAAGTATTAAAATTCGTGAGGATTTGAATAAAATGTTACAACACATTTTGGTCCATTTTGTCCTCATTCTCGCCATCTGATTGAAGGACCCAGATTGATTATTTTCCCAACAACGATAATCACTCACTGGTAGTGAATGGATAAGGAAGTATTAATGAAACAATTACATGAGACTATATGCCAGCCATAACAATTTTTATTACAAAATAAATATTTAAATGAAAGTAAAACAGTAAAATCTTAACCTTTTTACATTTTCATAGTTTTCTTTGTGTGGTACATGTAAAAAATACAAAAGAACATCATTTTACATAACTACATCAACTGATCCCTTCCATGCTGCAGTATCTCCAAAAACAGACAGAGGAAGTCACCCACTGTGTGGGATTATAGAGGAGTCTTGTGTCACCAGGGTGAACACGGCACAGAGCAGAGACACATGTCTCATGAGAACCTTCAATCCCAATCTACTCATTTCAACTGGTATCACTGCCACATGACTCTTGCTAAAGTGTATTGAATACTACAATACAATTAAACTTCTGATCTATGTGATTTTATTGGCTTGACTCAATTCAGACTCGTTGCCACTCATTAGGAACATAGCTGTCCTTAAACCTGTTGTCCAGATCTGTTTATAGTAGCTGCAGCAAGGATGACGTGATGTTTGTTTAATGTGATGGTTGCTTTGTTTGAAAGTGTTCCAATTTAATTAATAAGATATTTTTTCCATATACACCAGCTGTTACTGGAAGGTAAAATGAAACAATTTACCCCAAATTTTTTCACGTAGTGTTAAGAAATTGGTAATTTACACATAGATTGTTATAATGGGATTGTTATTGTCATAAATGATAGATACACTGTTATAATTCATTTTGACTGTCCACCGTGTCACATGTTTCATCATACTTTAATCATACTTTACTATAAGGTTTTTTTGCACCCTTAAACACCAGAGGGAGACATTTCATTGTTGCATGTACAGAGAAACTGCACATTCAGTCAAACATACACCATACTGACAAGACAGCGTGTTCTCACTAATGTTTCAGCAAAGTATATAAAAACCTTTAGCTGGTCCATCTATATTCGGCCGAATCAATAAATATAAATCTTTAAAATGTGTAACCACCTTTAAATACCAACAAAATTGACATTTTAAAATAACTGACACAGTAATACCTAGTATAAAATGAAATCATCAGTCTGTTCTGTTCTACATTGCACTGGCTCCCAGGGATGTCCAATGAGTCGGGTGTGTAAAATCAGTGTTTCCACCGATCAAAACTCACTTCCTCTTGGACCTTGTCACTACAAGTGCCCTGCCCGGCAGTGGGAGAGCGTGTCAGCGTATCACCCCAGCTGTCTGAGTCTCTGACCACAGACAGAGTTTTGATAGATGAGTGGAGGAGACTCTTGTTGCTGCTGCTGGGCTGAGAATACACAGAGAGCCACATTGCAACAGGGAGCTGGGTCAGCACTGCAGTTACCTGCGAGGGATCTGGCACCTGTGGAGCGAAAAAGAAAAAGAAAAAAGAGGATTACACCTTCAACAGCATCAAACAACATGCTTTTAGAACTTTTTTGTCACTCACACTGAGACCTTACCTTTCACACTCTCTAGTTTTCTGTCTTTCTTTTCTCTTCCTTCCTCTTCCTCTTTGCCTTCTCCTACATAAAACAAGCCCATCAGCTCACAATCTTTAAAAATGCTTTCTCCTTTCAATGATCTCAATGCTTACATTATAAAAGCAAGTCCTTACCTTTCAACCTTCACAATAGGTTTCCTGATTCTGAGGAACAAAAGTTTGGATAAATTAGAGCATTGAAATGCAATCAAACAGTGAACAGTCAGGGCCAACCAGTCTCCTAGAATTTACATTTGTGTTTTGAAAATTAGTTTTACATATTTCTTGAAATATGTTTTCTGACAACTGCCAATGGACACTGATTCAAACTGGCCTGTTGGTTAAAGCTTTTCACTATGCAGCTTGCTTGTTCTCCCAGGGTTTCATCTTCCTCCCACATGTATAGTCGGGTAAGTGGTTACTGTAAACTGCTGGTTCTATGTCTCTGGCTAAGACCTGTGATTGTTTGGTGACTTGTCCGCTGACATTGGCCTCATTCCCAGCGTCAGCTGTCAACCTAACAATTTTTTCCCAACATTGACTTTTCTTTTTCAGCGTTGAGTGAACCCATAAAGACTATCACTGTCTTGGCTCTAAATGTAATTACATACTTTACAATGACATTTTCTCGTTATAAGTGACCCTTTAATGCTTTCAGAGTGCACAGGCAAACACAGATATATGTCTATCTTTACCTAGGCAGCAGTGGAAAAAAGCAGTCCTTAACTTTTAAATGAAAAGGTCCACACAGATGTTGAGCTGGAGCACACAACAGCTGCACTACACTGCGCGCACACGTGCACACACTCAGTTTGAAACACTTTCCACTGTTTATATTGGTGTGATACATTTTGTTTCGATATGTTATGAAAATTATTATTTTACATTAATTGCCATTTTTTAAAGCCCCTGAGCCAGGTTGTGACAAATAACAAGACTGGTTGTCATCAAGCTGAGAAACTCATCTGCCTCTACTTTCCCATAATCAGCCTCATGTGTGCTTCTGTTGTGCTGGATTGTCTGGCTCCATTAATCCCTGCGTTGTCTGCCTGTGGAGGTTTCATTAAAATAAGAGTCTCAAATGTGGTTTTGCTGCTCTCTGTATGGCCTCTGCGTCTAATTTTGCGTTACTCTGCTGAGTGTGTGGCTCTAATTCTATTTGAGTGTCTGAACGAGTACTCAAAGAGTGTCACTAACTGTGGGAGCTCAACATTAAACAAGTGAAAACAGAATGGGCCTTTCATTTCTGCTGTTGTTGCAAAATGCCCCCAATAAAATTGTTTTCTGTGAGGAAGCAGAATTAGTTTCTTGGTCATTCAGGCTTGGACAATAACTTCATCAGAAACTTTACAATTTAGAAATATAAAGTCTAGGAGACAAGCTTTTTTCTTCAGCATTCAATGACAAAAATCATGGCTTTTTAAAAACCTGTTTTCCTGTTTTCTTACCTACATTCACATGTCTGATGCTCCAGAAACGTCATCTCCACATATTCTTGGCCTGGCTCTGACGGCCTGATTTTCAACAGCTGAGGGTAACATTATTCATAACTATCATAAGAGGCACGTACAATGCAAACAGGAATAGATCAGAGGCCGGCACGCAGACGCCACACAGACCCCTCAGCTCACCTGCATTGTGACGTTTGTGGTGCTGGTAGGATGGCACTCCAGGTTCTCATCCCCACAGCAGCCGGCGCACCTCACCAGGGGCACACAGGAGGGGCTGTAGATGTGCTCCACCTCTGTGGGGTATTCCTGCACCACCTCCACCAGCTTTTCGATGGTCCGGCAGAAGCTGCGACCCCACACTTCTTGAAAATTCAACACTGTGAATGAGAGCAGGGGACTGAAGCGGAGGAGCTGCAAACCAATGAACTCATCTCTATGTGAACAGTTTTTTACGGTGCAGAGGTAAGATAAGCAGAGCGCTCTTGCACAGAGTTTGAAAAATATAAAGATGTTTGTGAAGCTTAATTAGAAGAGTGAAACCAAGACATGTACTTTAAATAAACTGTACGCTTGATAATGCCTCTTTACACAAACAGAATCAGTAATTACTTCCCTAATGCAATAATGGCATGCCTAAGTGATGTGCAGAGAATCCCAAAGCCAGCGATATGCCACTGTGTATCCTGTTTTCATTTTGAAGAAAAAAAATTGTTTGTATAATGTACAGTATGCTTTCCTGTGGGAGTACATGTGTGAAAGTGTCCCAGTTGCTGTGGGGGAAGAACAGGGACGACCATAGCCAAACAGAGAAGGAAGAGAAAACAAACACTGGAAACATGGCCATGAACAGAACCCTGCCGGAGCTGGAGCTGAGTTGCCCCGCAGGCACCTCTGGGACAGCAGTGACCCCCAGGGGTCACCAAATGGAGCCTGATACCACAACAGCTGTTTATAAAAGAAGACAGGCTGGACAGAGATGGCTGGGGAAGCATCTATGACGGAGGATGGGGTTGTGAACTGTGATGTTGTACAATGCAGAAGAACAGTTCACTGTCCAGTCACTATCATCTGAGTTGCCTGTACGTCTTCAGCTTTCTGTCCTCCCAGTCTTTATTGGCTGGGTGTTCTCCAAGTCTTTAACATTCACTTTATTTTCCCTTTTGGCAGCATTAACTTATAGTGATGGGAGGGAGGAAAAGGACATAATGGAAGGTCAGGAGTAAAGTAATTTCTTGTAACTCAGGGATGCCCTGTATTCTGTAAAATCCTGAAATCCACCGACCGGCGGCCGGCATTGTTGGCCTTAGTCATTCATGTAGGTCAGCAATGAATAACAAAAAACTATAAGGGAATACACTTCTGTTAAAATGTGTTTTGCCTGAGCAGATCCTCCAGTCTAAAACCTCTCAAACTGTAATTGCTTCAAAGCTTCTTTACATTCGGAGTAAAGTTCGTTAGCTTCAAAAGTCTGAAAATGTCAGTCTCTTGCAAAATAAAACAAATTCTTACCTTGCATTGTACTGTTTGTGACTGTCGAAGGTAGACTCTGCAAAATAAAGAACATATTGACAGCATGAACATCGTCTCCAGAAAACATGCCATGTGTCTCCACTCAGAACATCAGCCTAGTGTTTGTCCTGGTGACGACAGCAGGAACGGGACAGCAGTAAGGTGGACAATCACCCAGCTATTTTTTCAAAACCCTGCAGTAGCAAAGTCCTCTTGACGAGCAGCACATCCAGTCTCTTACATATGTGTCACGCTCGTCTGTGTGCCCATCTGTTTAGGTTCAAAACCTGTTTCCTGTGGTATAAGATTCAGCTCTGTATTTATTTTCCCATTGATGGTTTCCCCCTCCGTCTTGAGTTTTTCCCATCAACCAACGATAAACAGAGTGAATTTCTCATTCGCCTGGGAAAACACAAAACCTCTGGTTGACTCCATCTCAGGAAGGGAAATCTAGGTTTGATAAAATACCCTCTGGCAGAAGTGCAGGAGAGGCGGCAGACAACCTGCTTCCGCAATCTCCCCTCATCACTGGAGCTAGATTGACATTTTTCAGTGTAAAACAGATGGAACACGCTCAGTCTTTTGTTATGTAATAGCCGATGAGCATATAAAAACTTTTAGAAATGATAACAACAAAGACTGTTACATTTTTAAACCATCTGTCCATTGCAAGAGTGCATCCTCTTCCTGTTATGAACCAAAATTAGCCCGAGGATAGCATCTGTCAACACACTGCCACAGTTAGCTTTTTTTTTTCACTGCAATGTAATTTACAAGGAATGTCCTGATTCAGTACAACTAAGAAAAATGTCAGGCAGGTCGTTTGGGAATGATCTGTCCTCTCTGCAGTACAATGCTTTATCACAGGCTGTAAAAATCACAAACGAACAACAGCTTCCCGCCAGTCATTTAGGCGCAGTCCTCCCTGTATTAGGGTAACTGCTAAGGCATCTCCGCCTTTTTCGAAGTGGCTTGTCATCTTGCCAACGCGTACAGCTGTTCTTCTGACAGCAGTGCTGGTCTATAGAGAGTGGCGGTCATTGAACTGTGTCTGCTGCACAAAAACACAGCAGGGCATGCGCCCCACTTGCAGAATATTTTATATGAACAGCATGGGAAAGTCACAGTTCAGTTTAAGTTATTGTTAAATGTCAGTTCCACGCTGCGAGGCACTGATCATCTTTGATCCACCATGGCAAAATCAGACTGATACAATGGACATTTTACCCTGTCACTTTTGCCTGTTTATGAGGTCACTCGGCATCATTTTTTGCTATTTGCTGTTTAGAATGAGCCGATATAGGGAGGATTTTCTAATCTCAGTCATAGGTTAATATTTGACAAGATGAGTTAACATCTTTGGCACCTCCTGTTGTGGAGAAGAGGAGCAAGCTGCCCAGAAAAAGCTGCCAGATTATAAAATGCTGCCTGAGAATCCTCACGTAGACATTCCCTCCTCCTCGTGCACTTACAGTGTCAGCTGTGTGATTAATGGCGTCTTGGGGTGGTTTGGATTGTGTTGCAAAGGGATGTACTTTATATCTGTAAATTATAAAATAATGTCACCTATAAGGCAGGCAGGAACAGTTTCTTAGTACTCAGTCTTTCTCTCACTGTATTCCTGAGCTTTTTGCAAGTTAATTTGCTTGTCCTCTGCGAGTGTCTGACATTACAATGTGTCCCTTTCGTTTATTGTGTTCCTAACACGGGTGTTCTAATCTATCAGACTAACTGTGATTAAGAGCTACACAAATACACTGGACTTGACCAGACTATAAATTTGACTTCTCCTTGTGCTCTTTGGGGTTTTTTTTTCTGCCGAAAGCTTTTAGTGCATGGCCAACATCTGGTATTTGCAAATGACAAAAACAGCTGCATGTATTTAAACAATAATTAATAGTAAAAACAGCTTTTAACCGAACGTGCGAGCAAAAAGATATATTCTTTCTTTTTTCTTCATAACAAAAAAAATGTTGCCTGTTCTTTTTGTAGATCAAACACTTCAGGACATGCACAGATTAAAACATCTATTTTTGAGATACAATGACTTTTTCAGCTGCAGAGGGATGTCAAACAGATGGACACAGAAAAGTTAGTGCGTCCAAAATGAACCCTAAATCTTGACTGTCCACATTGGAACACAGAGTTGATTAAGCTTATTAGTACATAAAGTATGCAATAATCTTTGTTAGAATGAAGGAAATATGATTCACAGACAGACAATTATTTTGGTTTAAAAAAAAACTGACAATAACTGTTACTTAAACAAAAATATCTTCAATTTTTAAATGACCATACATTTGACAGAATAAAAGGGCTTTCAATGACTTAAAGTGTATCAAGCTATGTCGACAAATTAGTAATAAACTGAATGGTAACCGGTTATTTGCAGTTCATCTGAATTTTCAGATGATCTGCTAACAGCCTCTTACTTTTGACACTCTTGTGCGCTCAACAGGGCAGATTTAGTACATAATCCAACTCTTTTGATCTCTGCCCTGCAGTAATAATGAAAATGAAACTGACATGTGGGCTCTCACGTGCTTGATTGTAAAGCCACTGCACAAAGTTTCTGCTGTACTCAGGGTCAGATCAAACGACCCGCTGAGTCCTCGGGCTCCTGCTGTCAGGCCACAGAGGCCTCAGGCCTCATTACTCTCCAGTCCCACACAGCTGAACTGCGTCATCTTTAACCCCCTTGCTTATCCCATCTGTCAGAGGAAGGGCAGCATGCGTAGGGAGCAAAACTTAAACATGATGGGGACCCAGCTTAATGCTTGGAAGATCAAGTTTGAGGGTCAGCTGGGGGAGGAAGTGATGGTCAATTCAACAGCAGGTACCATGGCAACTTGCCAAATATGGATACGAGCCAGCATATTCCACAATGCAGTTTGACATAAAGTACTGACAAACACAGAGCGGCGAATGAACTGCAGACATCTATCTGTTTATCAATGATGATTGACTTTTTTTCCACCAAACTGCGAAAAAGGGGCACAATCCTCAAGGTGTACATTATCATGGTCAAACACTATCATTTCAATCCAGGTAGTAGGTCCTGTGTGTGTATCAAAGGACGAAAAAGAGACAAGCAACCACGTTCACTCAATCATGTTGGAGTTTTTCATTCCACCAAAGTCACAACAGTGAGCTGATAGCTGGCTTGATGAAGAAGTTTGTTTTCCACAATGTATTATTTTGTAGGAATTTTAGCACTAACAATGTTCCCGTATTAGTTCATTCCATGGCTTCCATGTGAATTGAAGTGAGGATGATTGTCTTTATAAACACAGTGTCAGTCAGCTAGGTGTCACTGGAAAACATGTGACATGAATGTTTTTTCATATGTACAAAGCATAACCCAAGTATCAGAAGCTGTGGTGGAAAAATTTAGCACGTCAGCATATTTCCAGCCTACTGTTTTACAATGTTTACTAATGAACCCAAACCAAGTATTCCTAACCCTAAATTTTCGCTCTCTTACTGTCCGAAAAAAAAGAAAAGAAGTGAAGGACTGTAGAAAATTATTTTTAAACCACAATGGTTACATAAACTCTCAAGACCTGAGTGTACTAAACAAGATGTAAAACATCTAAATTATCAGAGACTGTAACGAAATGTTGATAATTAATGTTCTTACTTTGTGAGGTTCATTAGTACGATAAATGACATGCAGCACAATCTTTTAACTGTGGACAAACATAACTTCTACATGCTCCATCATCCGATTTGGCTGTTTAAGAGAACCAAATTTAGAAAAAGTTGGCAGCAGAACTTCTGTAAAATATCAGCATCTTTTAAACTCTGCTCCATGTTGCAGGCGACAATATGGATGAGCGGTCAAGAGATAAGATGCAGAATAGTTTTTGCTAATCTTTGCACACGTAATATTTTGATTTTGAAGTGCAAAAGTTGGACCCTCCAGACTGCAAATGGAGGCAGCTGGACAGTGAGAAGCAGAGCTGCTCTCATCTTCCTCTTCCTCTCAGATTCCACGTCACCACTGACTGTGGCACCGGCTCACACGGCTCTCACAGGGCCTGAGGGTCACAGTAGCTTTTCTCCACCCTAAAAGATAAAACCAGCTTTTGCTTTGTGTACACAAAGCAGGTGAACCTGCAACCAAAACACCAACAAACCTCAGCAGAGCGTGTAGCAAATGTGCCACGACTTTTCAGGGAGAAAGGAGCTAAAACAGATGTATTTACAGCTGGGCCATCGTGCACATTCCCCTGAAAGTAGTAAACTTTAAGACCCACACACTGATACCGCTGCTGTGTGACTGACATGGCTATTCAGTGAAGTCAATCAAAATTCAAGTCAATTATAAGTGTGTTTTAAGTCTTATTAAGTCAGTTTTCAGCATCATTCCATAGCATAAGTTGACAGCTGGATAGATAGATAGTTTCTGACAGCTTCAGGTGTATTTGTTGTAGTTTTCATTCTATTTCACTGACTGTGCTAGCCTTTTATTAATCAGAATTAAAGAACTGTTGAACATGGGACATGAAGAAGTGGAGCATCTGTGTTCATTAACAGCAGAAACAACATGTTGCAATCAATTTACTTTGTCTGGGTTCTGTCAAACTTGAATTATCTGGGGGATTGTTGGAACATGAAACTTTGTACAACGTGGACCCTCTCTATCCTCTTTTCTGGTTCCATTCTTGGTGTGAACATGTGGGCCACATAAAAATGCCAGTTTATTTAAACCATTGACAAGAGAGTGCCTTAAAAAAGAAAACACAACTATTTTCGAACATGTAAGAAATGAAAACAACTCATCTCGAAGTTCATTATTCATGTTAAAGGTTCTTACGTCCTTTAAAATCGCAAATGTGTCTTTAACAGTAATTTTGCACTCATTGAAATCAATCATGTTTTTTAAAGCCTTTGAAAAACATTATAACCAAACAAACCATAAAATGGGGTCAAGTGACAGAGAAGAGCTAAGGGCCGACATAAATTTTGATTTAGATAAACATCATTTCCTCTGTATAACTCCATTAATACATGTACAAATGTCTCCCTGAAGATACAGACACAAACACACAACCAAAAAAGTGTAAACGGTGCACCCCGTCCGCAAGTACACGCACACTAACACAAACGGCACAGGTCTTGAGATAAGGCTGACCGGTGGTAATTGTGGTCTCTATTACAGTAAACGCTGTTCTGTAAACCACAGTAAATTACATCCAGATGGGAGATTAAAGCTTGCCGTGTAGACGGCTACCCCCAACTCCCCTACTACTCTTCCACCTCCTCCTCCTCCTCCTTTGCAGGAGGAAGAAGAAATCCATATTTCCTGATTGCAATTGCAACTCTCCCCTGGGCCAGGACATTACAACTAGAGAGAAATACCACAACAGTGCAAATAGGAGCCCTATCCGTCAGCAGGCCACGACCAAAACATGGTTTCATGTGTAGCTATCTGATCTAAAGACATTTGCAAGTATACCAGAGCAAAAGAGAGGAGCCATGCAGTTTTTCTTTTCTGTCTAATTATTGACAACTGACAATAACTGAGAACAAGGAACCTCGTTTGATACTTCAGAGATGGAAGGTGCTTATGAAGCTCCACTGACACACCTGACTGGCTGATGCTGTTCAGTCTAGACTCGGCTAAATGTGAACATGAGCAAACAGAGACACACACACACACGTGCTATACAGATGGTCCGTCTCAAGTATTGTTCTGTCTCTGACGGTGGCGTAAAGGAAACACCTGTGTAACACTGTGTCCTCATACAGCAGTTCTGCTGTTGCACCTTTTGTCTTTGGTCAGCGACATTAGAGGGGATGAGCCTCACGGCTCAAATGAATATATCAGTGCTGTACAAAAAACAAAAAACAAATACAGAGAAGACAATCCTTTCTCTAAACTGACTTTTATGTCACAACTACAACACGTGAGATGATTTTTAATTCTGTTCATCTTTTTATTTGTGTATCACTGCCACAATCAAGGGAAATATTTAATGTTCGGAAGTTGTCAAGTGGACAAGAAGCAATTAGTAGTGCAGATTTATCTGTTAATGATTTCCAGCATTAACAGGATCTGATATCTATGCTGCTTTTCTTCCTATGCAAAGGAAGCATCCAAAATACAGGAAAAACTAGACTGAATACTGTAAAGGAATGTACAAATAACGACTCGCTCTTTGGGCAGCTTGGGAATTAAGGTGATCAAAAGTTGACTATTGTGCAGAGAGGAAACCCAGGTGCTTCCACCTCCAGACCAGAGCCATACCAGAAGAAATCTTCATTTGACCAGGAAAGCTTAAACAGAATGACTCAGAGCACATTTAAAATGAGCACAACTGTCATGAGAAATCAAACTGGGATTTAGGATTAAATGTGTTTTATTCTTACTGACTGACCACAATATATCACACCATGATAAAACGCCCTTAAAAAGTACTTAATCACACTTTTTACTAGAATGAAATGGAGTTACTGTGGAGACACCACCAATCTCAGTAATGCTCTTATGAAACAGCATTCCTTTTGTTCTGAATGTTGAGGCTCAGACTGAGGAATGACATCCCATCTGAACTAATCAAGTTGAATTTTCAATTGTGCTTTCCCTTTAATATAAACAATTACAGCTCCTGAGTTCAAATGGCATAAGGAGACGCTGTGTGCACCTTGGAAAAATGAACCAGACCATACTCTCGCATATTTGCTCATACACACGGGGTAAACAAATCTCATGACAGATTTCCACATGAAGATATTGTTTAAAAACCAAAGGCAGGAAATGACTCCTGCAGATCACAGAAACTAAACTAAATACAAAGAGGGAGCATTGAGCAGAGCTAATGATCAGAACAGCAGTTGCCCTTCCAATCAAAGAAAAACCTGTCTTTTACTAGTCACTAATCTGAGTCATATGTGGTGTGAATCATTCTTTTCTGTGGTCACATTTCACTACAGTGTTTCCCACAGGCAATAAAGTTACTGATTTTGGTTTTTGCTGTTGCTACAATCTACAAATATTCTCAAATTGCCAAACACGTAGGCACTGGGAATTTGGTAACAGCTCAAAACATATGAGAACAACTCAGCTTAGAGAACTGAAACTTGACACTGTTCTACATCGCTTTCTCAACAATGCACCTGCCAAGTTGGAACCACATTAACAAGATCGCATTAAAAGTTGTAAAGAAAAGAAATGGAACACAACAAAGTACACACATCTTTGTTTATCTATCGTTCATGGGAAACTCACAGTGAATAATAGAGTTTATCCCATAACCCAATCCTAATCACAACTAACTGCCTGACCCTAACTCTTAAGCTGTAGTCTGACCCTTAAACACATTTTTAAACTTGTGGGGTCCAGCATTTCCGTCCCTACAAAGCTGCTAAACCCCAGAAATAAGGCTGGCTGCCTGTGTCTGTCCCACAAATATGGAAAAAAGAACATATGAACTTGCACACACTGTCTAAACAATGGGGTAAATCCCTTGTTGCATTGACAATCAAACATTTAGAGTACGTAATCTTGGCAACACATCCCCTGTTTTCTGCTTGCTGATGCTTCACTGCTGCAGAACAGGGAAAAAAGATCATTTTAGTGTTTTCATTCATTAAAGGTGTGTTTGGTTAAGGCTATTTGCAAAAAGGGGATAGCAGAGTTGGATTCTTTTTAATTTCACAGATGACCTTTCAGTACATAGCTGTCAGGCCATGGGCTTAAAGAGACATCCAGACTTAAAAATGATCTAAAAAAATTGATGGGGAATCTGTTCTGGTACTGTACTGTTTACATTTGCCATCAGTCTTATGGGCAGCAAGGGGCATATAGCCGGCTGGATGTTGACGCCCCTGGATTTTGTCACTCCTGTTTTGACTAAGCACGCCATGAGCTGATTATGAGGATTAGAGGAAATGTGGTGATCCCATGCCTCTCCCACTCATTCTCAACTTAGCAACAGCTGCAAAGTGTCCAGTTTGAGAAACTGTTGGGACGTGGAGCTTTTTCAAGCAGGGAGAGGCTGACTGAGTCAGCGTATAATACTTCTATAAGTGGCCTGCAGCCTGCCAAAGGCCTGCTACCCGATTCAATAGACAGCAGCAATGTACGAAGTGTGACAGTGGCTGTGAAAAGATGTGGGAACGTCCCGGTTTTGCATTAAACATGAGAGGCATCAGAGACAAAAGCCAGCCCTTTGGCCACCTTGGGAGGAAAGCAGACACTGAATAGTTTTAAGAACTGGAGCTATTTGGTGGCACATGTCCCACTGTCCAATGGCACATCCTCTCTGCAGTATTCCTACCACAGCACATGCCTTTGAATGGGTCCTCACTCCAGTGTCAAGTTTGCCCTCCTCCGGCAGATTTTCATTAAGAGGCCACAAGGCAAAGCTGAGCAACAGAGAACAACAGAAAGCTTTGTACCCATCTTCTGCCGTCTGACAGGGACATATCTGGCCTGAATCTAAGTTTCAAAAGATGTCAATGAAATTACGCATCACTTTTCACAGATTCCCAAAGCCGTAAGCGGCTATTAAACCAAAAAGCAAAAAAAAAATTCTGAAGGGACACTGCAGGTGCATATAAAACTGTTATGGTGTTACCCAGTTTTTTTCCTCTTTTTTCCCCCCAGAGGCAGCTAAAAAGAAATACATGCTCAGTTTAAGCAAAGACATTAAATGTTTTCTGAAGAATATGAACTTGAAGAGGAAAAATAAATCCCATCTCACTGGAGTGAGAACTATTGTTGCCTGTAAAATTATGATGCACCAGTAATTATAAGCTTAGGAAGCTTTTAGAAAAGCAACAGTGAGTTACTTTGCATGGTGCAGTGCACATCATGATGCAGTTTTTCTTATGAATCAGTCCTGTTCAAACTCATTCATTCCCTTTGAGCTAAGACTGCTTCTATTAATACAAACAATTATAATAATATCTATGTATAGAAATAAAAAACTGAATAGAAAAGTATTTCTATGGCAGCATATTGAATGGGGACCCATTCAACGCTTACAACTAAAATAAGTCAATATATATAGCAGTTAAACTTCACTGTGCGTGCATGTAGAGGTGTGCTAGAGCATACCTGTCCAGGTGAGAAGAGCAGATAAAACGCCATCACAGTCTCGATGACAAAACTGGGTTTCATTTCTAGGTGTGTGCGCGCGAGCATAAGTACTGATGGCCCCCGATGCACACCTCAAAATACCACCACAAGAGGAGGAAAAGAAAAATCCAATAATAATAAAAAAATAAAAACTCTCCAAATGAGGTCACACGGACAAGAAAAAAAGGCTCCTGACGGGGAATGTCCTTATCGCCCGCCCCGGGAGTGAGAGGAGTCACGTAGCTCCGCTGGAACCTGATGAAGATTGGGCAGAGAAAAAGTTTAGAGCGGCTTGTTCAGTCCCACAAACTTCATGAAGAAAAAAAAAAGAGGAGAATCCGCCTCAGAAACGTGCGCACCGAGAGATTCCCTTCCTCAGCTCTGCTCTGAGCTCCAGCCGCCAGAGAGAAAAAACACTTGCGTCTAATTGCCCCACACACCACCTTTTCACGAGCTGGCCATTTAAATCTCCTCCCCTTCCCCGTCTTCCTCTGTCCGTCCTCAGAAGTGGCTGATGAGATTTCACAGCCCCCGCGAGCTGCGGGCGCGTGACGGTGATTTATGTGATGCTGCAAACCCCGGTTATCATTGCGTTTGGGGACGTCGCTGCTGATGCTTTCTTTGTAAACTGCAGCCACAGGTGATTTACCCCCGAAGATTAAACACAGACTCGCTCGAGAGACATCCTCGGATTACTTTGCACATTCAGCCAGACCGGTTTAGGCAGAGTAAACAGTCAGAGATCTTTTTTTTTCCACCGCTCAGGAGGATGGTAGACTCATTGCATGGCTCAGGGGGTTGCAGAGAGATTTTCCTCTGAGGTTATTTAGCCCAGTTTGCTGAGACACGGAGGAGATTCCTTTCCTGTTGACACATAGAGTTACCCTTCAGTGTTGGACTTCTGTGTTTGCAGAAACCAGGGAACCAAAGGATTCCTTGTGGGCTTCCACACATTCCTCCTGCGGGGCTGAATAGCCGCGCGGCCCTCTGCTATTGAACAGACCACACTCAGGAGTGGCCTTTCTAAACATCTCAGACACTTGAGCACCCCCCCCGCCCCATTACCAGCTCTGCCAGAGCATCAGCCAGTGCAAACAGTCAGAGATGATGAAAGACGTTTCCTCTAATTATGTTGTGCAACTCCACAGTTGTCTCTGACTAAATTGTGTCTATACGCGGCACCGATGGGTTCAGATGGCAGAATGGAAGCAAAAGCTAAATGGATTAGTCAGGAAAATTGTCTTCTCCAAGTACGCTCCTATCATCTTGGTCTTGGTCTTTTTTTTCTGGCTGCCCAGTTATCCATCTTATTGCAGCAATATTGCAAGAGATTGATACCTCTGCCTTTAAGGCCAGGTTTGTGTGACAGTGTAATGACACACTAAGAGTGAGACTCCTGTTTTGCTTTAAAGATAGAGCATTGTTCGTCCTCCTTGGTGCTGCAGCTGCCCACACTGAGTCACACACACAGGACAAAGGCAGACTCTCACCGCTGTCTCGCCATCGGCTGCGTGATCTATCTGTTTTGGAAGGTGCTCCGGCCGATAGGGCTTAATAAGATCACTCAAACTGTTTGCCCTATAAATACACGCTGATAAGGCGCGCAAACCTGGGCCGAGCGATAAAACGGGCCGGCCTGAGGGAGACGGATGCTTCTGCTGTCAGGCCCCTGGCCGCTCCCGCTACGGCCACAAAGCTCGACGGCGTCCGCCGCTTGGCTCCCTGCGCCGTGTCAAAAGAGAAGAAAAAGCTGCAAAGCTACAGAAATAAACCTTTTAAAAGGCATTTCCTTGTTTATGAATGCAGCCAAAAACAGTTGTCATTCACACTCCTTTCTGTTTGTCTCATCAGGGGTCAGAATCTCTAGATCAGGACTTTGTGTAATGGCTCAAATCATTATTTTCTTTAACACAGGCTTAAGCTAGCTTCATGTAACCATCTAGAGTGATGTCTCTTTTGTTAAATCATTTGTCAGAAGAAAACGTTCAGCTTTGCTATAATCAAGGATTACAATATCTGAATATTTCTGATGATCCAGAAGAAGTCCAAATAGTGAGCGAATATCTGCTGCTGGAATGAACAAGGCCCTGCCAGTCTTCAGTGTCTTTTCATTTTGTGAATGGTAAATGGGAGGCTCTCAGAGTTTGGAGTGCAAAATAGGTAACATTTCCCTTTTGCTGTTGACCCCTCATTTCCCCCGATTTCTGTGTAAAGGTAAACAGATGAACAACATTAATGATGTCCATTCATCATTGCTGGGGCGACTTCGGTTTCCTCCACAGTGGGGCCTTTACAGGGAAGGTGAAGAGCCAGCCAGGGCCTGACTTTGAAGAGTCACATTAACAGCTACGTGCCCACGGGGTTTCTGCCACAGACAGAAGTCAGTCACAATAACACTGCCCACTGGATAAATCAGAGTGGATACTCTAAACCCCGAAGCCAAAGAGGAAAGCATGGGTCACTCCTTACTGAGAGATTCCGGGAGATGATGTAATATTTCACGCATTACAATCCACCTGGTAGGTGCATGCAAACAGGATGAGGCAATATCTGACACCAAAGCCTGGTTTTCCTGTTATTAATGAGCTCTGACGACCCGTGAACGTGCACAAACCTCTGAAGCTATATTTGCAGTAAGCCGTAAATAGGAAGTGCTTCAGCGATGAGTGAAAAGCAGCTCGCCTCAAAAGGTGGTTAGCATTATGTCACAGCGCAGTCTTTCATGTCGAACATGTCAAATCCTGTTTCCCCTCGTATGCTTCATTGGCATATTTTTGTCTCCGACACATTTGTTGTTCCAAGGTTGTCAGGTGTCATCCTGTTTTCATTCCCGCTCTGTTCTCGTGTTGGCATTGTTTCGTGGTATTTTAAAGGAAGTCAGTCAATATGTTAACAGACAAATCGAAGCTATTTTGGTCTGACTGTGTCGTGAATCAGTCATTGTGGGGAGCTGCAGACACTGTCCGTACACAGCTGGGTTTTGGACGTCACAGTGTCAGCGACAAGCTAAATGAAGGCTCCATTCTTCATGCCAAAAGACATTTGGCTCCTGTTATTATGCCTGATTTGAAGAGTAATCGTAGCAGAAGTCATCACAAGCAATGGCTTCCAGGAGTGGGAAACACTATTTTAAAAGACTCATTTTGCTTCCCGTCTGATATTTGGATGAGAAGACTTTTGTTTATGTGTTAAGTAGAGGATTCATGGCATGCTGGAGAGCAGTTAGCAGTTAGTCAAGTTTCTAACCTAGAGAGAGGAGGGGAACGGCTGTCATTTTCTCATCTGTATTCTGTTAAAAATGGAATGGAAAAATGCTTAAAAAAAACAGTTCAATCAACACTCCTAACTAGTATTGCATTTTAGGGCTTAAAATAAAAAACAAATATTTGTAGCTATAACGCTTAAAACGTTTTTGAAGATCAACTTTCAGCCCGCACAATGCAGTTAAGGGTATGTGCATGTGATGTTTTTTAGGCCCAGAACAGAAAGACCAGCTCATATTAGCCCAGTCTCAGACAGCCAGCAGCAGCAGCCGCGGCACTCTGAAAGGAAACTGAGTGTTTGTCCAAGATAAAATTTCATCACCTCCAGAAGTAGCAGGAAAGAGGACCTGTGGTTATATAGAAAGGGAAAAACAACACCGAGAGTGAGTTATCATGGCTTCTGTCATTGCCAGTTGTAAAAGCTGTTAGCTTTATAAATGAAGAGCTAGCGGTGCAGACTGTGGAGAAGTGGTCCTGCAGTCCGAGAGCGGGTTATAACTCAGGCCAGCAGTGAAACGCTCAACTCCATTAAGAGGTCCCACATGTGGTGCGCATTCACGAGTTCACGGGCTGACGCGGTTGGTGGGGTTTCAGACTGGACTATGAATGAGATGTTTTTAACATCTCTCCCGTGCTTCAAATAATACGCCCAGAATTACATTTAATGTAAATATAATGTTCATTGCTGTGATCCACAGCAGGTGTACTGCTGCGAGCCTCAGATTACTCTATAAACAGACTTTCCTCTAAACGTACAGCGTTTTTCTGCTAGCTGACATGTTATTAAAAGCGATAAAGAGGCAGAGGCTAATGGAATATACATTTTAGTAGTGGACTGAGATTGATTAGCGAGGAGATTAGATTAATTCCTAGAAGTGGGAGAAACTTAAGTAAACAAGCCTAAGTTTAGGCAGTCAGATTGGAGTTACACTACTTTTGCCACTTGGATTTATTTTTTCTGAGAACGCCGTGTTTTTCTGAAACCCCAAATTAGTTTATCCTTCCTCTGGGCTGTCGTAAGAGCTTTAAAAGGTTTAATCAAAACACACACGCTCATCTGCCACTTTTACGAAGAAAACCGCAGTGGAGTGACAAGCGCTGTGTAATATTTGTGGAATTACAGTTTAAAATCTCCAACGCAGCTGCACAAGAAGAAAAACAACAAGCATGCTTAATGATCACTTATGAAATTCATCCAAAAGACAAAGATTTATTATTGTAAACAGTCAGTGAAAAATGTATTCATTATACTCATCACATCTGGACATTTGGAAGTTGTTGCTGCTTGTTAATAAGATAAAATACATACATATATGTATTTGAGTGTAAACTGTGTGTGAAACATGTGGTCATGGGGAAACAACTGGCTCCAGTTCATGCTGGGATAGCCTATTTTCAGAGCACAAGTATTCACCAGTATCAGTATTTATTTTACAACACATTCAATAAGCCAGAGCTGGCTATCTTCTGTGAGCCTGAGAATGAAAATCAGGCGAAAACCTAGCTGTCAAAAGGTTATGACATTCCCGCATTCACTGAAAATGTAACATCTTGAAATGAAATGAAAGCAATAACTTTGGCCATATTTCCTCAAAACTTGTCCATCTGTTAAATTAAGCTGAATCCACATTAAACAGATACCTGACATAATCATTTCGATTGCTTACAGCCTGGTCTGCTGAACATCAGGAACAAAGTAAAAAGCTGGAATGACCCACTTTGGTTGTTAAACAAATGAAACGGAGTCATTTTTAAAGGCATACGCCTTGGATATATAATGACTGGAAGCCGAAGAAGAAAAGCACAGGAGCAGGCCGTGGCCTGAGCAAATGTTAGGTGAAGTTCATCTGTGCACAAGTGTTTATGCAAACCGGAGCTGAGCAAAATTGTGCTCTGAGATTTATTTTTGTGTAAAAGAAATACATTTACTCAAATAGCTATAGCTTGTAGAACAAGAAACAAGGAAATGGGAGCTGAGCAGCGAGAGGGTGGGTGGAGGTCACAGAGCCAGGGAAAGTTAATAACTTGAAACAACAAATAAAACATCCAGTGGATGGGAATTTTGCAGATGTGAAATTTTTCATCATCAGATGATTTGTGAACCAGAAGAAAAATGGCTGTGCACATCATTTAGTTGTTGCTATGCATTCCTGGGGATGGAACTTTTGATTTTTCAGGACAGTGTGAATGCCTGATGTTTCACT